CCGGAAGATATCTCCAGGGATGCCCTGGGAGCAAAGCCCCCCCCCCAGATGGGTAAGGACAGGGTGCCCTCTCAGCAGCCAGGACAGTGCATGCAAGGATTGCTCTGCAGAAGAGAAATAATGGCTCAGGCTGAACTAGCAATTTTCTAGAAAAAAGAAACTTATTTGGGAAAAGGACGATTTTAAAGAGACTGAGACTGTTCATAAATTCAAGTCAAATTTAGAGATTACTTTCAGCCTCTGGGTTCTTCTACCCCCCCCCTTTCTCTTCCCCCCTTCCCCCGAATTATTGTTTGCAAAAATTAAAACAAAATGTTTTGGGGCTTTCGTTTGTTTAAAAAGCAATTTGCATTTTGAAAATTGCCAAAATATAAGCTTTGGGAGGGTGGGGTCTTTTGAAAGGGCAGCATTGTCATTGCTGAATGAAAACCATGGAGAGGAATGCGTCCTGGGAGACGCAGGGCACTGGGACATGGGGCCTGGGGGACACAGCAGCAGCACAAAGACCACAACCACAGCTCCCACCACACAGCTCCAGCCTGTGCTTCCATTCATGTATCTCCTTTCGTCCTCCCAAATGGAAAATCCTGCCCACCTTGACCTTCTTTGAGTGATTAATTTGACCGAGTCGCTGTTTTCAATGCGGAGAAGATTCTGCGGTACTTTCTTCAGCCGGGTCCAAACCACAGCTTTCCCCTTTTCCTCTCCAGCCTTCTCCAAGTTTCTGAACATCTGTGTTTAAATGAAACCTAGTTATTCATATTGGAGCCTGGCAGCTCAGGTAGAGACAGTCTGATGAAGCTCTGTACATCTGTGTGCAATAAAGCAAGCGAACAAAAGGCTTGTGAGGTCCTTGGCAAGAGGGGAGAAAGAGGAGAGCAGGAGACAGCAGCACTGAGCTTAGCTGAGCAACTGCAGCCAAACCCTTTCATCAGAGAGGTCTCAGCACCTAGCCCATGTTTTGCTCATAGCTGGGTCTGCAGCCCATGCAGGGGTGTCTTCTCCCCCAGGTGAAAAGCAAAGCGTGGGGCGTGTAGGTGATGCCAATACCGGGAGGTGATTTTTACTACAGCTGGCAAAGGCATTCATAGAAAGAAAAGCTGGGTTGCTAAAGAGCCACTTAGTGTGGCAGGGAAATTCCAACCAAGAAGCAGTGGCTGAAAATTAAAGCCAGGCCAAGTCGTGTTAGGAGCGAGGCAAAACTCTTTAGCGCAGCGGGGGATTAACCTCGGGTGAGGGAGAGGGAGGGCGGGATCCGCCTTTCCCACGTGCCTCTGTCCAGGGAAGTGTGGCCGGGTGAGCCACACGCCCTGCCCGCCATGGGGAGCATGGGGAGCACCCAGGGACTGTGCACAGGTTGGGAGATGGGATCCAAGAGCATCACAACCTGCTGCTGGGTCCACAGCACTCAGCACCTCCGGGTGATGGTTCCCATCCTGACATGTCCCAGCAAGGACTTTCTGCTGCCTGGATGGGTCATTTACTGCACTGCCCTAATTCCTCTGTCCCTCTGCTATTGTCAGGATGGCTATCTTCCTTCAATCAGACCAAACCTCTCCCACTGAGCATCTGCAAACACATCAGGCTGCAGACAGAGCTTCCATCCAGCCCTGGCTGGTGGCCAGGGGTGCACAGCACTGGCCACTCAGGACCCAGGCACTCAGGGTGAACACAGGAGGCAGTAATTTCAATTAAAACCACTCTCCCTGTGTCAGTTTGGCCACTTCTGTCGGCAGAAACAGGTGGATCAGGAGGGGGTGGATGATGGCACTGCAGCTGTGTGCATGGGGCTAGGAGGCAATCAGTGTCCAGGGGTGTCCTCTGTGCCTTGGGAGTGCAGGTGGAAGGAGGAGACAGAACAAAGGCTGAGCTGATGGAGCCAAAAAAACCTTAGAAGTCACAATGGAGGGGTGGCTGTTGCTCCCTGGTTGCTTGTTGTGCTTGTGGGAAGCTCACAGGGAGTTCATGCTGCTCATGGAGATGGGCTGGACCAGCCCACACCTTCTCCCAGCACATTTACTTCCTTCTTGGAGGGTTTATACCCCAAGGCATCCACAATATTTAGGTTGTTGACACTGGGTGAGGACAGGGGTGGCTGTTTTGGGGAGCTCCTTGCAGTGTCTTGTGAGGTTCAGCTTCTTCCCTTCTTCAGACACTGGATATTCCCGTCCCTGGAAGATCAATGATCCCAGGAGAAGAGCTCTGAGCTGCTCTGCACAATCCACTTATTCCTCCACATTCCTGTGCAGCTCTGCTCTGGTGGGACCAGCAGAAATATTAGCAAAGAACTTGAGAAAATCCCAAGAGTCCTGTTTTCCTGGCTTTGCAAAAACATTTCTGCTTATCAAGCAACCCAAAGAAATGCGAAGATTTTCAGTCACTCTTCGTGTGGGCTCAGCTTTGAATTTTAAAAAGGGATTTGCCAATGCAATCTTGCAAAATACTCGAGTGCCAAGTCCAGCTCTCCTAAAATACAAGTTTTAGGAGGAGGTGAGCTTTCACTCTCTGGGGAAAACATGCATTTCTGACAGATTCAAGGAAGAACTAAGTCTTTTGTGAGGGCATGCCACCCCCTGGAGAAATGTCTCCTCTTGTTAATCAACAGGGACTAAGTCCTGTGGTTTGAAGCACCAAAGGCAGAGCTGCTCATGAGCCTCAAGGCTTTGAATGATGGAGACATGCCCATGTGGTCACAGGCTACAGCAGGGATGACCAACCCTCAGACTGAGGGATTTAAATCTCTTTTTTCTTCTGCTTGAGCTGAGTCCTGAGGCTGTGCCACTGATAAAGGTGTTGCCTTGGGATTTAGGTACAGCCAAGAGATCATCCTTCATGTTACAGCCTTGGTTCATGCCTGGGGAGAGGCTCTGCCTTGAGTGAAGGAACCAGCCCTTGGCCCTGCACCTTCTGCACGCCCAGAAAAAGGGTTTAATCTCAATATCTTCATTCACTTCTGTAAAACAAGAATTTTACCTTCTGAAAAACAAGGAATGGGACTCTAAAAACTTCACCTCCTTTCCAGAAGCTCAGCTCGTGTGTTCTGCAGGGCAAGAATCACCTCTAACCCCCTATTTTTACTGCGTGTGGTGGAGCCATCGTGGTGGCTGGGGCTGCTCAGCACGTGTGAGAGGAGGAGGAACCAGAGCTGAGCAGCTGCTCCAGCGAGGCACAGCATGCTGCTCTTCCTGAGGTTTAGATGGGAGGGGAAAAGCCTCCAAAGAGGGCACTGAAAGTGCCTGGTGCGTGCTCCTGTGCTCCTTTTAGCTGCAAACAGGCTGTTAAAGCGCAGCATCAGCACATGTGTCTGTGGGACCGGCCAGATCTAAACAGCAGCCATTCCCTCGGGATGCAGGAGCGGTGTCTCCGGTCTCCTTGATGGCCATCTCCTGTTTCAGGAGTTGACAAATGCACCCACAGGCTGCTGGGCTGATCTAAAGGAGAGGCAAACCGCGGTTCAAAGCCGTGGCCCCGCTCAGCGTCAGGGATCTCGCTCCCTCCCGGCCGGCAAACTGCTCCCGGGCCGCTCCTGTCACCATTGGCACGGCGGTGGCTGCTGCTCCTGCTCTGCCAGCGTTTGGTGGGGACCTGAGGCTTGGCCTCACCACGCCAGCTGCAGGAATTCCGATTGCAAGGCATGGAGAGAGAGCAGGCTCCATCCCGCTGGTCGGATGTGGATGGAGGATTTCGCTCTTCCCTTTCCTTTCACGTCTCGTGTCAGCTGGGGGTTGTTCCTGATGAATAATGCGGAACTGCACTGTAATTTTCTGGGTTGAAATTTGATAATTAAGCAAATATAGCATGTCTTTGTGTTGGGCAAGCACCATAAGGTAAACAGGAAGGAATGAGGGATTAAGATGTCTCTGCTCTAAAGGAAGGTGACAAGCCCAGAGCCGTGACACCTTCGTGCCGAGCCGAGAGGCCCAGCTGTGGGCTGGCATGGCACAGCTGCATTGTTCAGGGGTGAAGAGCAAATAAAAGCAAGGGGAAAAGAAAACAAGCTATAAAATTCTCAGCAAAGCACAGAGCCCCAGCAACTGCCTCTTGATGTCCCCGTGACAGCTCTGGGGAGAGGCAGGCGAGGGGTCGGGCTTTTGAAGTCCTTAAGTTGTCCTTTGCGAAGGCCCCCTGTTAAAATAGTGCCTGTGTTGACATTAGGCTGCATATGGTGGAGGAATTGGACATCTCAGTCACAGCACATGCAATCAAAGCACTGGGGGACTTCTTGGTATTTGGCTAACGGGGTGTCAGGCCGGCCCTGCCCCAGGCGGGATGGGGGATGCCGAGGCAGAGGTGAGGTTTATCAGCATATCCAAGGCTGTAGATGAGTAACAGAGCCTGTGGTATGGAAAGATGAGGAAGAAACCAGCTAGGAAGGTTTTGAAGTGGTATTTGGAGCTCAAACACACACGTGTGTCAGAACTGGTGAGAGTGGGAATACCAGGAAGGTCTGGCAGGTGATGATGGAAATGCCCTTCCTGCAGGGGTGGGCAGAGGGGGTTCCTGAGGTACTGGGAAGTGGGAGATTTCGCAGCAGTTTGGGGGCCTTTGTGCTGAGCAGTAGCACAGTACAAAGTGAGAGTGGATGAGAAAGGAGAGAGCAGTGCTTGCACGGGACAAAGTGCTTGGGACAAAGCTGAAGGAGAAGTGTGGGGGGCCGTTCCCTGACCATGGATGGGCTCCCTGTCCTCACAGCCCTGCCTGCACCCAGATTCTAATCCACATTAAGAGCAGGGAGAGGCAAAGGCACATTTGCTGCAAGTCAGGATAGTGAAATGAGGTCTTAGTGACATCAGCTTCCCCTCCAGAAAGCTGGACTTACCACATAGCCTTGGTCAGGAGGGGGCATGGGCTAGCAGCTGCACCAAAGCATCCCATTCTGTGACACCCCGCTCTGACAGGGCACACTGGGTGCCCAGCCCTGCTCATACAGGCTCCCCTGGGTTTGGCACCTCCATGGCTGGGCACAAATGGTGACGATCTCCACTCTTTGCCTCTCTCAGCCTGCAACTGCAACCTGCACGCCCGGCGCTGCCGCTTCAACATGGAGCTGTACAAGCTGTCGGGGCGCAAGAGCGGCGGCGTCTGCCTCAACTGCAGGCACAACACGGCGGGGAGGCACTGCCACTACTGCAAGGAGGGCTTCTACCGAGACCTCAGCAAGCCCATCTCCCACCGCAAGGCCTGCAAAGGTACCGGGGTCGGGCGTGGGATGGCCGGGACCCTGCAGCTCCTTCCCCTCCAGCCCCTTCCTGCAGCTCCTGCTCCCACAGGAGCCTAACTCCTCCTACTCCTCCCTCTCCGAAACCAATTTGAAATGACTTTTTGTGCTGTTTGAAATTGCTTTTCTTTCCCCCACGTTCCCTGGTATCACCTCTCCCTGGTCTTCTCCTGGTGAGGACGAGGCCACCGAAATACAAGAAGTTCTCACTGCTGAGGATGACTTTAAATTATTTCAGTGTTTATCAGTTATCACGTGCTTCATCTGCTAACCTGGTCATCACACATGTAAAGTGCACAGAATCCCAGGTATGGGGTCAGATGTAGCATCTGTAAATCAGCCTCCTCTGAATACCCTTCTCCAGCTCCCCCACTCCACCCTCACCCTAGCACTGCTGGGGCACAGGCAGCACTTAACCCACACACAGAACATGTCACTCCTCGGGACGAGGAGGGAACAGTAAAAAGGGAAACAAGTTTATTTTGAGCTCAGAGTTTTTTGAGGTTTCCTCATATGGATGTGGAGGCGAGCTGGGCTTCAGCTGGGGTGGGAGCAGCAATAAGAGCAAATCCTGCAAATGAACCTTTTTCACTCTCAGCTGGGGGAGACGTAAATCCTGAACCTGAGGTGCAGAGAAAGGAATCAAGCAAACATTCAAAAGCCAGACTAGAGAATGCTGGTGTTTCCCACAGAAATCTTCAGCTCTTTTCTCTCTAAAGACTCATTTCAATAAGAAATGAAAAGCTTTTTGGCCTTAGCTGGGTATTTTTGGCTGGAAAGTTTTGAGTCTTCAGCATTTTAATTTTTAATGAAAATGTTGCTTCTTTATTTTTTTTCCCCCACTGAAAACAGACACTTTTTGCCAAAACCACTTCTTCAGACACTCCTATTCCTCCCTTTTCACCTTGTAAAAACTATTCCAACAAGATATTTTTGACCCACCCTGCACTGAGGCTCCTAACCAGCTCCAGCTGATGTGTGGGCTGCTGGGAACCCCATCCATGGGCCTGGGCAGCAGAGGAGCTGCCATTTCAGGATGCAAGGAGCCAGAAGAGAGGGGTGTTGAGGGGCTGAGCCACTTCCATGCCAGCCCCAACACCCAGCATCCCAGAGGGACCCCAGCTCTGGCAGGGAGCTTCATGTTATGAGTGGAAATGCTTTGTCTCCCCATCCTGAGAGGATCAGTCTCGGAATAAAGGCAGTATTTCTGCCTTCACAGCCAGGTCACTGATGAAATAACAGTGAAATAGCAGTGAAGGAATGTTCAGTTGGGCCAGTCAAATGGAAATGGTGAAGGTGTGGGCACTCCTTGTGGGATGCATGTGGGCATCCATCACCCTCCATCATCAGCACTGCTGCTGTCCAGAGCCTGATTCCTGTCTACCTTCCTTCTCCCCAGAAAGGGTTTTGGGCTTCCCCGCTGGGAAGAATTCTTACCCTCCCCAAGGACAGTAAACTCCTTCCCAGGGCTGTGGTTTCTGCCTCCCCAGCATGGGGACTTCTGGGGATGGATGTGGTGTGATTTGGAGGAGAGGAGGGCTCTTTGTCAGCCATGGGCTCACTGTGCATCCATAGGGATTCCAGTCCTCTGGGATCAGCGCAGGGAGCATGGAGCAGGGAGGGGATGCTTGGCTGGAGGGTAGGATGGATTCCATCTCCTGCTTTTTCATTCTGGGAAAATGCAGTCTCTGTCCTGTGTTGGCAGTGATGTCCATGCTTAACTCTCTCTTGACTGATCCTGGCGCTTCCCAGGACTGTCCTCATTCCTGCTTTTCCCAACTCTCCTCCCTGGCCAGGCAGCCGGGTCCCCTTGTCCTGCCCATCCCTCCTTGCTGTTCCCTGGCCCTTCCCTCTGCTGACCTCTCCGTGGCTGACAGTACAGTGGTCCTACCCAAAAACACAGCTGGGTGGTACCTGCAGGTGGGAAACCTCAGAGCTGCCTCAATTTCCCCAGGAGAGCACTGGGAATTCAGGCACTGGCCTCCATGAGGCCCTCCACAAGCATTTTAGGCTGAATTTCCCAGTTGCTGGGTCATTCACTCTATTAAATGCTCTTTGCAATTGTCCTTCTCTCAACCTCTGCCTTCTCAAACTGCTCCTGCACTTGAAATTGGAGGTGGCCAAATTTAAATACTTCTCCAGCCCCCCCTGGTTTGTAACAGATACAAAGGCATGTGATAACTGTGCTCAGCAGCTCCCAGCTTGCAGCCTATGAGCAGGATTTCACGGTACTTGTTGGGTTATTGTTGGTGTAATCCACTGTCCTGTATGAAAGCAGCAAAATGAAGTTTCCTACAGCACAGGCATTCCTTTGAAAACTCGTTTTCCTGAGCTCTGTTTATCACACAGTAGAAGTTCATATTCCCTCTATTTTTCCTTCCCAATTCAGGGCTTTTTCTGAAGGAATCGTTGAAAACAGGCATGTTTAAAAAACAACCCTATTATCTAACAGCTTCAGCCATCTCACCATTGATAACAATATTCATTTATCATCTCACCAAACCAGCTGACAATGGGCAACCCTCTCCCAGAGCCTCATCTTGACCAAATGTGTTTCAAATCGAGGAATTAGCCATTCTGAAGCATCTGCCATCTCCCTCACCACTACCTGCTGTCTGCTCTCACCCAGCAGACTGTTTTCTCTGTAAGACTTGAGTCTTTCAGCCATCACATTGCTCTGATTGTGTTCCACATGTAACAAATTTAAATAAATGCATACAATAGAGCCCTGGTGCCCTGGGAGCTGCCAAGAGCATGTGACACACTCACCTACCTTGGCAAGTGTGTGAGCTCACAGCAAACACCCCAGAAAGAGCTGCCAAGGAGATTTTTGTGTTAATTCAACTCCTTTATTCAGCCTAACACACACATCCAGCTAAAATGCCTTTCCTCTCACTCACATTCCTCATCTCCCACTCCATCCTATACAAGAGGTTATGCACCTCAGCTCGTAACACATCTAACGTTAGAAAATTAGAGAGGGATTCTTTTCAATGCTTGGTTGGCTATTTATGCAAAAATACAATGTTGCAGAAATGTTTGCACAAGATCTACTTAATTTTAACTTGGAGAAAAAGAGAAATCCACAAATTTTGCACGTGTTCATAGGGCACAGTGTGAGGCTTAGGCAGCAAAAGGTGAGCAGAAAGCAGAGCTGGGCAACATCCTCCTACCCATCACAGGGCTGTTTGGCTTTCTAATAGCCAAATCTATAATAACTGTTAAATTATAGATTTTTTTCATGATCTGAAGTTGTCTCAGCAGCACAGATGAAGGCATGAGAAGCTGGGCTTTAAGGATGACTTTTCCCTGATGGTTAACAGCAATGCAGCTGAGCCATGTAATTCTCCTCTGCGTTTGCTTCCAGTGGTTTTCTTGCAAAAATGATAAAAGCAAAGAATTTGTCAGTGCCCAGAGATGCCCTGTCACAGAGCCACACAAGGCAGGGCACGGCACGGAGTCTGCAAACCACATGCAAAGGAATTGATGACAGATGGAACGGGGATATTGCATGAAGTGGCAACGCTGGGTGAGCGCCAGAGCCTGCCAGGCTGGAGCTGGGGCTGGGGCTGGAGGAGTGTGGCTGCTGTGGGTGGGTGGTCAGGCAAACCCAGGGACAGCAGTTACTCAAGCCAGGGCTCGGGTTCCCCCGGTGTTTTGAGGTCAGACCCCAGAGCTGATCTCTGCATGGCCACAGCTGGGGACTCTTTGGATGGAGGAGTCCCGCGGTCCTGCTGCTCCTCCACCGGGGGGATGGATGGGCTCATCCCAGAGGGCAAGGGAGCAGGATGCCCTTTGCCCTGGACACATCAAACCCCTGGTGTTGCATTGACCCTTTAGGTGTGGGGGCTGTCCAGAGAAGCAACAAAGCTCCAGATATAAGAAATTTTGCACGTTTGTCTTTTAAGACAGACAAGGGTGAATTGTTCCTTTCTCACTAGTTTTTGAGAAAGCACGAAGAGTTCCCAACACACCAAAGCCGTGCTTTCAGTTCCTTCTGCTTTCCCTCTGCTCCAAATGATGTTGCAAGTGAAATTCCACATCTGGGTCCTGCAAACCTTCGTCCGCCCCGCTCTGTCGTGGGCCGCCGTAAATCAGGGCCCTGGTGTTATTTCTTTTGATTAAATTCCCTCCTGATATTTGCCAGATTATTGGCACTAATGTAATTCTATTGGAGCAGAGAGTCTGCAGGATTTTATAGCCCGGCTGTAAAACAGCTCTGCACTTGAGGGAGAGGCTTTACACACTTTTTGATGAAAAGATGACAAATGATACACGTTATGAATGCACTTGTGCTGAGGCTGCCAGTGTAAACCCCTTGTGGAGGGGCAGGATTTGGCACCTGGAGAGGTCACATTCATTAGGACTCCATGTTTTGGTAAAAAATGGGATTGTCTGATTCCCTGGTGCTGCCACAGCTCCACGCCTGTGCAGAGCCTGGCGTGTTTTCCATCTGCACTGAAGTACTTAATGGCTTGTTCAAAACCCAAAAGGCAGTCCCAGCCTACCTGCCCATCCTGCCTTGTAACCACAAAGGGTCAAGCCTTTGACATTTTCATTTTGGAGGCAGTTTGGGTCGAAGCAGAGGGAAGGTGAGTGCCATCCCCATGGGCTCAGCCTCTGATCCTTGATTTCATGGGTGCAGACACAGGTTTCCTTCCCACCCAGGCCCTGAGTGGGGGGGACTAACACAGTCGAACCCCTTTGGCTCCCAGTGCTGCCTGGAGAGGGGAGCAGAGCCTCTGGTGACAGGGACAGTGGGACGAGTCCCCACCTCTCTCCACTGACTATAGAGGGAGCTGCGTGACCAGCTTAGAGCTGAGAGCTCATTCCCACGAGGCTGAAGCCAGGGGAGATGGAACCTCTCCTTGCTGCCCAGATCCCCACTGGGAATTTGGGGTGCAGAGGGCAGTGGGGATAAACCCCACCTTAGACAGCAGAGTCTGAGCACGGGCTCCCTGCCATCATTGT